TGCCCTAATGCACAAAGTGAATTAAAGATTGTAAACAGCTACTGTCAGGAATATTGTACAATCCTGCCTCGTCATGTGCATCTATCAAATGTTTCAGTGCTGCTATCAGTGGGTGAAACTTGACGCTGAACTATAATTCAAAACCCATATGTCATAGGTGAAGGATTTTCATTAAGCACTTGTCCACCTTCACTGCTCCACCACTTGCTACTATTCCTCACTGTAAATCATGGAAAGCTTTGTTAAACACTTTTGCTCAGTTCACTTGGTTGTCAGTGACTATGATTCAGTTATATTCCTAAGAGAGGTGTTTACATCAGTGAGCAATCACACCACTATCAAGATATGTGTGTGGTGTTTGTTTCTCATGGTGTTATGATGTTTGTTCTCCATTGCTGCTGAAACACTGAAATTTCCCCATTGAGGGATCAATAAAGTACCTACCTACCTACCTACCACTGTTCCAAATGCTACAGCGTCGTGGTGCTGCTGTTGATCTGCAGTCCAGCAGCGTCGGCCTCTGACTCAGTCATAACATCAGTTCCTTTCAGTCCAGTACAAAACGAGGCTGAGTTAAGTACTGTTGATAAGGTTAATAGCTCAGCAGCCACCTGTCTGCTAGAGTTATTGCATCGTGTTTATTACTGCCTTTTAGTCTTTCAGTCTGTTAAGTAAGCTTTTACAGGAAAGTAATAGCAGAGAGATGAGGTGATGATTCAGTACTTTCAGTCTCACTGCCTCTCTTATATGAGCATTTAACTATATATGAGTTTTGAATGTTTCCTTTGATACTAGCTCATATTTACAGTACTTAAATAGACATGCAATAGATGTATTGTGTGTGGAGAATAAACCATAATATAAACTGTATGTTGTACATCTCAGGTTTTGTTCTCTGTATTCGTCCAGAGTATCATGAGCAGAGTCATACCTCCAAACTCAAATGCACTTTTCTTTTGCTTTAAATGGTTAAAATGTTGATGTGACTGAATTGACTAAAATACTAACCTTGAGCTCACTGGGTCCTACTAGCACATAGCTAACCAATAGAAACTGTGCCATTCACAGAAAACTGCTTCTAACTATGCTTCATGTCTGAACATTGGAATAGACTGAACCAGGATCTGTAAGAGATAATGACTAATGACTTTTGAAATGATTCTCCTTATTAGCGTACACCATGCAAAGTGTAAAAACCCTTTTTCTGTTCAGCCCAGAGTTACTCACAGGGTCACATTACACAGCTGAAATCAGCAACCTATTCAACAAAACTGAGGCAGATGACAAAAATGTCCTGTTGCATCTGGAACAGGAGCAGCCAGTTCAAGAATCATTGATGGACATATCCATATGCTGCACAGAACCTGGTAGGACTGTTAGTTATCTCAGTGACTTCCCACCCTGATTACACCCTCCTGTGTTAGGCCTGACCTTTGCAATGGCCCTCCTGCTGGAGTGATCCGCTGTTGGCATTTATTGTCATGCCTCGTATCCGCTCAGCCTGTCCATTTGGGGGTGATGGAATAGGATTAGAGAGGTGACCTCGTGCTCCTCAGAGGCTCCTGGGAGTCTGAATCTTGGCTGCACGTTCTGTCAGTGTAATGACAAACTCTGGCCTTTACACACTCAGCACTTAAAGCAGTAATGATAGATTTCTCACTCTGCTCACCTGGGTTTACAGCTCCCTTCCTGAACACATGCAAAACATGCGTCTTCCTGTGTTTTTCTTGATTTGCATTTCTTCTCCTTCCTTAATCTATCCAGCTCTCTTTTTCTTGCTTAAAATCTGTCTTTCTACTTGTTGTTTTTGCCATTCCTCCCTTGGCCCCATTCTTCTCTTTGTCTGTCTCAGATTCTTTTTGTCAGGCCATCTTGTCTTTTTCCCAGATGGCTCATCCAATGAAAGAGTTGCAGTGATGCTCTCTGTGCTCCCAGTCTGGACCCATGTGTGTTGTGTGTCATAGATTGCCCCTCATAAGACTGACACCCCCAGGCTAATGTCACAGTCCTCTTCAGTCAGCTGCATGTCGTATGACTGTGCATTAAGTAGAGCACGCGGTGCTACCAAGTCAATTTGGTTAGACCAGAGAATGAGCCTGATAGAAACCTAATATTATATCATCACAGTGTACATTTGACATAAAACATGTTGGGCAATGAGCTAAATCAACTCCATAAACCACTCATAATGAGATTATTGTAAGTGTGTGGGCCTATAGATGCCTGTTTTCTGTACATAAATCAACATAAATTCTATTTTGTTGTTTTGCTTGCCTACCTTCATGTTAAAGTTCTTGTTCATTGATTTTCAGACTTATCTATACCTTAGTTAGGCATTTCATAGACCATTAAGGGGTTAGTAGGCGTCAAACTGAGTGCCTGTCAGATTGTAACCTCTCTCTATTTTGCTTTGTGTTCTAGCTATAAATGTTTTTGCCCTCACTTTTTTCTGGGTGGCAAGTGTGTCATACAAATTATTTCATTTCAAGTCTACCCAACTCTTTACATTTGTCAGTACTGGGGGTACAGCTCATGTCTCTTATAAGATCGTTCCTACGTCCTCGGTCCTCGGTCAACCAGAACGACTCCTGGGTCGACTGAGGACGTAGGATGTTTTGGCTCTGAGTGCCAAGGACGGTGCTGGAGGACCCATGACCATACACGAGACCATTCTTCACAGAGGTTTTTTGTGAACTTATATGCCCCTTTTTCAGAAATCAGCTGGTGATGGGACACTGAGGAAAGGACGTCTCGTGTCAGTAACATATCTCCTTGAGTCTTTTGTGCTCATATGTTTCTCCTCACACTAAGACACAAGGAAAAGATGCAAGTGAGAGAAACGATGGTGCTTAAAGAGACTTGGGATGTACCCTCTGTGTTCATCCTCATTCCCTATACCTGATGATGTAAGCACAGGATTAGCAGCAGAAAGAGGCTTGAAACCATCTCTTAACAAGGATAGACCTGAAACCAGGAGAAGCAAACGTACTCTTGGAAGAAAAGTATGTCTAATTTAGACAATGAATATTCTATTTAGACCTTTATAATGAATTTTTCTTGCTGTCAACACATGCTTTTTCTTCTCAGCCTGAGTCTTCCAAAATGGATTACACATATAAAGGTTCACAATAGACTGAGTAATTTCCTACAACAGCTGGGCACAGTTGTTTTTAGCAAATGTTACTCAGATGGGAGTAAAAAAAAGTGCATTTGTTGCAGACTGTTTACAGCTGCAGATTTAGTGCAGTACTGGGCATTAAGGCAGCAGAACAGTGCTTGTGGGATGGCTTAAAATAAACTACAGTGTCCTTGTTCACTGTAATGAAGAACAACGTGAACACTGCAGGTTACTGGTTTGTTTTAAATAGATTTTAGAAAGCAGTAAAGGTCTGTGACACATTTTTGAATATATATGCAAAATTAATAGTAAAGTCACTGTTGTAGTCATTTTAGTGATTTGTTGACAGTAAGTCTTCTTTTAAATAAAACCAAAAAAAAACTTTGAAACCAAGAAAAAACTCAAAAAACATGAGTATATTATTTAATTATTTCGGGACAACTATTAATTATTTAATACACCTACTTTAAAACAATAATAAAATGTTAAAAACATTTAAACACAAGTTAGAAATTTAAGAGAAGTACATTTTACTTTGAAATCATTGTATTTTGTTGTGCCTTATCAAGTGAAGTATTCAGGAGTGTTTGAACCTGAATCAGAGACACTTACAGATACTTACTAATTTGATGTTATTTATTGAAAATTCATGTAAAGTAGCTACACAAAGATAATGTTCAAAGTCAGTGAAGTGGTCCTTTAAATGCTTTGTAATGCTAAAAGCCATTTAAACCAAAACCCAGCAGGGCACTGTTAAACAAGAGGCACTAGAGCTGCATAATGTCCAGTTACTTTCAGATGATACAAAGAAAGCAAAGGAGCATGCATGTCCTTCAGTTTTGGCTCAGGTACTCGTGGATGGAGATTTACATCACTTTGTTCTCATCTAAGCTACAGTACCTTATGATTACCGTACTTTTGTTCAGCTGCATAATGTCCTACCATAATCATGTGATGTATTATACATAACCAGTTACGCTAATTCAATCATCAGTTGAGCAGATTATTGCATTAATTAGTGTTAATGGATTAAGGATAATTACTACACAAATGTGCCATGGTGTACAGTATTTTTCATGGACAGCTGATAAATTGTGTTACACAGTTTGGCAAAAACCTTTAACATGGTGTAGGTCAAAGGAGTGTTCCATCAATTTTGCAGTTGAAGTTCAATTTGTGTCATAGGGAGTAAGTACTATGTGGCTAAAACAGTCATTTCCACTGTGGCTCTGGAGAAGATTTGTTACATATGAAAATAATAGAATCTGTGTTTGTAACTGTGTTACAAACTATGGACATGGAGTTTGAATGACAGACAGAAGGGTCTGCAAAAAAATGCTCTGGGTTGCATTGTGGGAAATGCAGTTCCTAGTATTTTTGGAGCGTGCGTCTGCATACAGGGAGGCCAATTTAGGATATCTCTCTCAGTTTTGACTGTTCTTTTGATAGTCTGTCACAGGTCTAGAGACTTTATGGAAGTAAAATATTAAATTGCTGGAGTACTCTTTTAATGTTGAATATCAAATGTTGCCATCCATCCCAAACATCAAACCCTGATTCTAGCAACAGATTATTTTTGGATTCAGTATGTAGGATAATCTGGTAATCAAACAAATTGTTGTTGTAACAATGACTTGCCTGTCCACTTAGATCATTTTCTGGTCACACACCTAGACGTTACATTAACATTTTTTACCTTTATCCTGATAAAGATACCCACTTTTATTGGCCAAGTATGTTACACACACAATTTGCCTCTGGTACAAAACCGAGGCAGCCATATGCATCTCTTCAGTTAGCAGCTCCAGTCAATCAGACCACATAAGATACAGATTAAAGCTTCTTATGCTCACAGTGTCTGTCCGTGTGTTTCTGCTCTCACCTTCTTCAGCCGTCCACTTCGGGTGCCCAGGAAAACCACGCTGTGTCCATTGTAGACATAGGAGGTAACAGAGGTCAGCCTGTCTCTGCTCTCGGTGTACATTGTCCGACCCGACACCAACTGTGAACCCCCCAGGGGCTGGTTTATGTCCAGGCCGCAGAAGTGATCATCTATGGGTACGGGCTGTGTAGTGAGAGGGAGGGTTGAGATGCATGTTGGGGGTGAAGATGAAGTAAGCATTAAGAGTATAAAGGCAGAGAGGTGTGTTTGTTTTAGAGGATGTGAGGACAAAAATAAGAGAAGAGATGTGAAGACGGAGGGATGGAAAAGGCGAGAGAATGAAAGGCAGGATGTCAGGTACAAGGAGGGAAGGTGGAGGTAAAGAGCAAGGAAAGAGCATAAGTAGGAGCCAAACAAGGACTGAGAACACTGTAGACATGTGCAAATGTAGGAAGAGAATTCAAACTGACCTCTGGTAAGGCTAATGTACATTAATGTTAATTGTTAACAATTAATTATTGTTATCACCCCATCCCCCCTTTATTTTGCCAGGAAATCTAGAACTGTACAATCTGATTTTAAAATCAGAATTCTGGCTTTTTTCTGATCTCAACACCACACCAAAATGTCTTATGGGTGTTCTTTTGCACTAAGTAATTAAATGTGTTACCAAAAAACAGACTCTAATTACATCTTAACAAAACTGAACCAGTGGGTTTCACTTACAGTCCATTTTAGGTATAACACACTCTGGTTAACAGCGCAGTGAAAATTAAGTATTGAATTATGTATCTCCTTCCTCTCCAGGTGCTTTTATGAATAGCATTACATCTTATTTGTTTGATGGCATGGTGGAATTAAAGCATGTACTGGGAACCACTAGAGCAATGGATGTGATGAATCTAATTGTTTTCATTGCTCACTTCATCTTGTTGCCATTAAAGCCACACATTATGCAGAATTAAGGCTTTCACAAAGGCACAAACTTGGGACTTTTACAAGAAAGCCCTTTTCTCAAGTTCAAGAACAGATCTCAGAGGGTTCCAGTAATGCCAACAGCAACAAGAGCAGATGGATAGAGATAGGACAAGAGAAAGGGGAGGAGAGGAAGGTGGGAGTCAGTACTAAAACCCCTGAATGAAATCAAAGCTCCATACAAAACTCCTGTGATTAGCATTGTGGAATTCAGCTCCTTCAGTTCTTCTACTTTTGTGGGATCCTGAAAAACTGAATGATGTCTTCAGCACAGCATGGGCTGGCTGCCTGTTAGCTATTTAGGCTGCAGTCACAGTTGTGGATACTCAAAGAGCTGACTTTCAGTAAATCAATATCAGTGCTTGTGGGTTTTTCTAGTTCATCTAAATGTGTGTGTCTATATGCAGCTTTGTGTGGCAAAATCAAAGGGTTCACAAGGATCCAGTTGTTCTCCGTCTGCCTTTGTCTCTCTACAGTCCACCTACCGCCTTGGTGCACTGCACGTCCTTTCCCAGCAGCCAGTGCAGCTCCAGGTTTCCCTCTCCCTGGTAGCAGGACTGTAGCCGCTCCTTGATGCGTGCATTGATGTCTTGGATGGTGAAGATGCAAAGAGCAGAGTGATCTGGGGGTTCGTGGTACTGTTTCTGTCCCTTGGAGAACACAGCAAAGAGCACATCCTCTTGAATGCTGATGTTAAGCGATTTTGCCAGAACCCTGCCAGCCTTGGACAGGTAAGCGGCCTGCAGCAGTCTGTACTCCTCGCCTCTGTGTATACACCCCACAGGAAGTGACACGTAGGAGTGGAACTTCTTGTCACCTTTGCAGAGCCGAATGATGCGGGAAGTGTAAAACAAGTCGCCATGTGAGCTGCCTGCAGGCATCCCGTTCTCTGGAGTCTCTGGCTGGACGGTCATGAAGTAGACGAAGCTGCCACTTGCAAAGCCATAGATGTAGTAGATGTCAAAGTATGGGACAAGAGCCAATGTGTCAGAGGGGATTTTGATGAGAGATGAAACAAAGTCAGTGTGGAGCTCATAGTCCAGCATGGCGGATGATTCTGGGTCACGAGGCAGCTTGCGGCTGGAGATAGTTGGGAAGTAGTCCTGCTTGCCTCCAACAGCTGTGCCAATATACAGAGTGGCATCCTGGCCCTGTGAGGGCACAACAACCCCATACATCGTGCCTGTCTGGTTGTCACTGGACAGGTAGTGTTCCTTCTTATGTGTGGGCTCCACAAGGATGAACAAGTCATCCAACCTCATCAGCTTGCAGACACCCTGGTACAGGCTGCCACAAGCCAGCAACCGGTTGTGAGAGTAGTCAATGAGCAGTAGTTTATTAACATTGTCAGTAGAGGCCAGAGGCTCAGAGCAGGGCTGGACAATCAGTGGAGGGTAACATGCTTTGTTGTCATACTCAGGCCCTGTATCATGGGACACCGAGAGGGTGAGATTAGCCGACAACTTGTAGATGCGGTTGACAGCTCCGACATACAGGGCCCCAGTGGACTGATGCACAGTTAGGTGGTTCAGCGGCCACTCCCTCCTTTCTGATTGGAAGGTGTTCAATGTCTGTCCAACAGTCATCTTTTGACTCACAGTGATTAAAGTCAGTAGCCACAGTGCCATGGGCCATGACATGACCATCAGAGGACTGTGACCTTTAGTGAGGGCACAGTAAGTCCATCTTTTCTCCAGGCACGTTCCCATCCCAACAGGGCTCCACGCCATACAGAGCTCAGACAAAACACCTGGAATAGTGTGTCAGCAAGGAGCAGGATTGTGCTGAAAAAGATGAGATGAGGTGCCGTCTTGTCTTTCTTCAGTGATTTTCACATTATTCTGAAAGAGAAAAGAGAGATATTTGTTTTTAACTCAAAAGGTCCTTGATTCTTTTGAGAATGAAAAACTGCTTTCAGGGTATCATTAGACACTTCTAAAACCTAGAAATGTATGCACTTGTTTTCCCCTCTATCTCTGCTTAATCAGACACATGAGACATCAAATCTACCAGTATTTGTGGTTTATGAGGGCCAGTATAGAAAAGAGAGGCCAAAAACAAATCTTTTCTATAGGAGGGTGATGAATGAAGATGCTGTAAGGAGGCTAAAAGAGGATTTTATGGGGCAAAACTGGGAATCAGTTTACAGAGAGGAAGACTTAGACAAAGCATATGAGCAATTTTTAAATATATTTAAGAAAGTATATGACAGGAACTGTCCTGAATACTTTCGCAAGGCACTGTACCTATAGTAAGTGTAGTAACTCATGATCAAACAGCAGAACTGGTGCTAATGCACTGGGGCTTTACAAGAGCACTTTATCAAAGACCACTGGGTGAGAAATGGTTTTGGTGTTTATACACCCCTTCTCTATTGTGTTGGTGTTTGAACGAGCGTGGGCAGTGCTCAGTTCCTATACACACACACACACAGAGCATACAGCTGCTATCGCAGCTGTGGGGGCTGGGAGTACAGGAGAAGTGAAGGTGAAACCTTTGGCTGAAGTTTGCAATACCTATGCTCATTACTGTATGTGCAATAAAATTGTCATGAGTAAAAAGCTAGTAGGAGTATTTAAAGCACCTTCTAAACAAGCATAAACTTGCTTGGTCAGTGTTTTGCCCAAGGACACTTCGACACGTGGACTGCCGGCACCGAGATTCGAACCGTCAATCTTCTGGTTGGGAGATGACTGCGCTGCCCAACGCGCCACTGTCACCTCCCCAGTCTTTGCTCACTCTCACGAGTGCCCCCTCAAAACAAATGTGAGCATAGAGCTCTGTGTGCTCTAGGATTTATAACATTACAGTGTTGGGGGGTGGCATTACGTTAAGGACACTCCAGTGTGTCATCAAGCCATGCTTTGTGCCCCAGCCAGAAATTTCTGAGCTCCAAAATGATGAAATGGCTCTTTTTCACATTTTTAGCAACTATTTTCTGACATGTACAATGTGTTTAGAAACAAATCACTGATTTGGCTTTACCCTGACTTTAATTCTACCCTTAACCTTCAAACCAACACTTAACCTTCTGATAGCCCCTTGAACTAGTGAGGATCAGTCAAAATGTTTTCACAGTGATGTCAACAAAAAGATGCGCGCACACACACACACACACACACACACACACACGACAGTCAGCAGCCCTCCAGGATCTTGGCTCCTCACAAAAATAGTCACAAGGGTACATACACACACAATGAACAACTGAAACTGTGTGTACAGGATGTGAGGTTGGAGGTCATGGAGGTTGTGTGGGTGGTAAGTTACACAAGCATATCTCTGTCTCTGTAAAACAGCACAGACCCATGGAAATGTTTGCTGCAACCTTTAAACAGGCTCTAAATATTTATGCAATTGCAAATGCATTATACTCAAGCTCTTAGAGAATGTAAGATGGCTGTAGGAATAAACATGAGTGTCATCAACTAACATCATCCATTTTTACAGCTGGAGGGTTGGTTAATACAGTTAGGGTTAGACTACTATTTTTTTTTTTTAATCTTTTTTTATTATAGCTTTTTCCTTCAATTCTGTCAATTCTTACTGTAACCAAAGGTCACAGTAGTTTAGTTAACCACTGAAACGTGCATCAATGTTGTTACTAACATTACATGGATGGCTAAATAAATGTCAAGCGCAGACTGACTTAATGTGTATTTACAGTCCTTCATAGACACACTCAAGTCATGCTGTTAACAAACAAACAAACAAACCAACACCAGCAAAACCATAACCCCTGCTTTGGTGGAGGTAATTAATATTTATGACTACTCGGCAAACTCTATTTGTTGATGAAGACCATGAGGTCCACATAAAAATGACAAAATTACAACCTAAATTTGGCAGAATTGTGACCAATCATGTGATGCCAACTTTGTGTACATATTGGTACAGACACAATTCTGTCAGTTCTCAAAAAGTAGTATGCAGTGAGTAAGTTGATGTAATTTAATAATGTACATAGTTGAACAGATTGCAGTAAGGTTAAAACAAACATTTAAAATATTAAATTTATTAAACCATGGCTTGATCCGATCTGGAGCACTGCTGAAGTTATGCAGATTTTGTCTAGCCTTAAACGAAACCATTTCCAGAGTCAACATTAAATTATGTTACCATTCAGAGCGGAGACCACCATCTTGATTGGTTTGAGTCCCTGTAGTTGAAGCAGCACATCTAAGTTGGTTCCAACCATCTGGTCCATGCTTCCCCATATTTAGTATGGACTGCTACATGATGACCTGAGAGGTTTATAGACATGACAACTGAGAAAAATAATATCAGTTTCATCTGGCCACAATGTGGCTCAGGAGATAGAGCGGGTTGTTTCCTAACCGGAGGGTTAGCGGTTTGATTCCCGGCTTGTCCAGTCAACATGTCGAAGTGTCCTTGAGCAAGACACTGTACCAGTTGCTCCTGGTGATGTCACCGGTGTGTGAATGTGTGTGTTTTTGGGAGTGCAAATGGGTGAATGGCCAAATAGTGTGAAAGCGCTTTGAGTGTGCTGTAAAGCATAGAAAGGCGCTATACAAATATAAGACCAAGACCATTATATTTCATATTTTGTAAGAGAGAACTAACTGGAGCTTATTGCCTGAACAAAGCAGTGTCACAGTGTAGCTGTGCCATCCCTCAGTTTGAACGGCTAATTAAATGATTCAAATGTATTAATTATGCATCCGTATTTTAGGTTCCCTGTTTTCCTTTCTCCCCTCCACCTTGTTCATTTAAATGGTTGAATCCAGGAGGAATTAATCACTCTCCACTGCAGCTGACATTCCTAAATTAATCAGGCTTTTCCAGGGATGGCATCTCATTAGAGATTCAGAACCAGGCAGCACCAACCCTCACACTTCCCTGTTTAATTGCATTAGCATGTTTTATGTAGATATTTCCAAGGGACAAACAATGCCCCTCAAATACATGATGGACTGGAGGGTTAGACACATGAGGAATGATGTGTGATTTGTTTACAGATTTTGCTTCCTGTGTCATAACTGAGGTGTGATGTATGTTTTAGTCTGATGCAAGGTGTTTTTTAAGTAGATGAGGTAAAATTAGCTCATTTGGATAAAAAAAAACAACTAGTTTTTATCTCAAAATAAAGACAGATGCTTAGTGAAGGAAACAGCCTAGATAACGTTGCTTCATGTACACTGTTACTTCACTGAAGTCCATTAATGGAGTAATAAATCTGCCTGCATAGGGACGCATAGGACGGACCATAAATTAGCACACATCATCCTAAATCTTTTCTGTGTGCCACCAGAAGCTTCCGTCTTGCTCCCAAAGGTTGTTTCTAGCTCCCCTTTGTCCTCTCCAGAACCATGCCAACAGCCCCTTAACACTTTTCTAATAATACTTTTTTTAAAAATCATCCAAGCATCTAAGTGTCCTCTAAAGATATCCTGCCAAATGCTAGAAGGATTTAGCTCAAAAACAACTGTCATTTCTGGCTCGAATTAACATAAGCAGGGTGTTTTCTCAGTGAGACATCCTGATAGAAGTAAAGGTTAAATGAAAACAGCCATGTCAGATCCTAATATGGGGGTCACGGTGCACTGGATGCTCTCCATTGACTGACTAACAGGATGTCTGGCTGAGTTGAGCTGCAGCCATGGATGGAGCGGATGGACTGACACTGAGCTGGCTGGGCCAACTCCAGCTCCACTTCAGCATCTCCAGTCCATCTGCCCCCACCGCGCTCACACTGAGGGAGAAGTCACCCGAGTGTCTCGACCTACTCTGCTCACTTTGGCAGGCTCAGTGTGAGCAACTGAACGAGTAATTGGCCACCGAAGAATAGTATCTGTAGCACGCTGCATTTCATCCTGAACTTCAATGTCTGCATTGCTTAATTGATAAGATATGAGATTTTCACAAACCTCTACAAATCAACCTTCCCCACTTTTTTTTCTTGACCATTTTTTCCCCAACATCACACAAAAACTGTTTGCTTTTATTAGTTCTCAGGAAGCTGAGATTTGGCAGAACATGTTGGCTCTAATATTTGCAGCTTCTTTATTTTGGGCAAAATGGTGTCCAGCAAGCCTTCTACAAATCCCTAGAATCATCTGTTCTGCAAGCTAATGAGTCCCTGAACCAGTTTCTGTGTTGATATAACCATAATACTCATTCATTTGTCCTTTTTATGTGAGAACCAGATGAAAAGGCTACTGAGGCATTTGGAAATGTTTTCAGATAAAGCTTTCACTTTTTGTCGGCCTCTAGGTAAACTCAAACATAAACACTTTGCAGCATTCATGTGCATGTTTTGTGTGGTCACTGGAAACCTTTACTCCTTTGTTTAAAGCTTTCTTCTGCTTTTTGACGTAGAGTGTTTTAGTGTGAAGGGCAACTCTGGAGCACTGAAGAGCTGTAACAGTGGGCGTTAGAAAACAGAAATCTGACTCAGTCCTTTGTGCATATTCTTGAGCTGCCACAAAAAGAAGCAGAAAATTGATTTTATGTTTACCAAATTAGCTAGGATTGTCTTTACTTTGTGGTGTCCATCAGAATTGCATTACTTAAATCACACTACAGGTTCACTTCCAGGTGTCATTTGCGCCGTAATCTTATCAGATTCTCAAGCACTGTCCTTTTCTCAACTAGAAATCATGAATAGACAGCGATCTTGTGGTTCGTCAGCAAATAGCAGACCAAATGATCTTTGCAAAAGCAGGTTTAATTGCGGCATGACCTTAAACAACAGACACTGGCAGTGCCACCCGGAGGTTAATTCAATGTTGGAGAGTTTCCAGTCAACCCCGCACAGGAATTACAAAACAGGGGAGAAAAACAAGAGGAGAAATTAGGAAGTGCTGGTGGCAGACGAAGT